AAGCTACACCCAAAACAAAACATCAAGATGAGTGCCCCTGTGAAATGAGGTTTCTAGAGAGCCTGTTTGGGATTGCCAGCATGCTTGCCCTCCACTCAACCAGTGTAAGAGATTCATTTATTGCAGATTCCCAGCTGCTTTCCTCTCTCTCCTTGCCTGGGGTCACTTGGGTAGGAATCAATCTTCTCCCCTCCCCACCTCTCGACCGTGGTTGTGGGAGGTGGCTTGTGTGTCAGACCGGGGTAGAAAGGAAGCACACTGTTCCCACCATTCCCTGGTCTGACAAACTAGCCAACCCTGAAAAATTTATCCTGAAGCAATGAAAACTAAGTACCTCTCAGGAAGGCGCAGGTTTTTTTGGGCACAGCTCTCTGCAGTTCCGCTTTTCATCCTTGATTCTGCCTTGGGACACTGTGGTGGCTGCTGTGTTATAGCACCCACACACATCCACTGCTGGAGAAAGGCTCTTTCATGTAAGCTGAAGGGCGTGTCCCAGCCTTCTGAACCTAGGGCTCTGTGCTCCTGTGGCTGCCTCCGCTCCCAGACAGGGTTTCTCTGTGTAACAGTCCTGGCTGTCCTGGAACTCTGTAGACCAGGCTGGGCTTGAACTCACAGAGATCCGCTTGCCTCTGCCTCAGTGCTGGTATAAAAGGAGTGTGCCACCACACCCTGCTTTTGTGGTCCTGTTAGCTAGAGGCCTGACTTGCCCAGGGTTGCCTCCTCCTGGGGCTGGCCTTATAGGTACCAGGATCTGCACACAGGCTGAGGAAAGCAGGGACTCCAAGATGATTGAGCTACAGTTGTAGCCAACAAATATTTTTGAAAGACAGACTTTACTTGTCACATTTCTTCTACCAGCTCAGTAACATGATAGCCTTTTAAAACACACACACACACACACACACACACACACACACACACACACACACACACACACACACGATTTTCTGTACCTCCATAATAGGTTTCTCTGCTGAGGTAGTGAGCCAGATCAAGCGAGATTGAAAAAGTAAAAGAACAAGTTTATTTGAGCACAGCAACTCCTGAGTGGGGGTGTTCTCCAGTCTGAGAAATCTGGGCTGGAAAAGCCACACACCTGAACTAAAGCAGGGAGCTTATATAGCCTGTAGGCGAGGGATGATGACATCTGCCAGAAGCTGGGTTTATGCCCAAGTATGGTCAAAAGCTGAACTCGTTAGATGAGGACTTGGGCAACTGGCAACTTCAGGGGAGGAAGCTGCAGTAGCCTCCAAGAATGAGGAACTGGACCTTTTGGGGTCTTCCTTTTGTTTGGAGATTTTCTGAGTGGGTGGGGTTTGGAGAGAGAGGAATGGGACTTTTTGGATGAGCTGGAGGTTCCAACTGGACAACACACACACACACACACAGACAGACACAGAGATACATATACATATGTGTATCTATAATTTTTGAAATTAAATATAATTATATCATTTCCTCCTTCTCTTCCCTTCCCACTTATCCTTTTGCTCTTTCTCAAATTGATGGATTTTATGTGTTTGTCTTTTAAGATTTTACTTTGCATATCCTCTCTCCAGCTATGTTCATGGTTTACTGACTCTTCTGTGAAGTTCTGTATACTAATCTGTTCCCAAATTTATGCCTGAAAGGACAACCTCCTCATTTCAAAGTGTGTAGTATAGAGAATGCCTGTTGTTAGTGTATTTCTCTTCTTCCTCTTCCTCTTCCTCTTCTTCTTCTTCTTCTTCTTCTTCTTCTTCTTCTTCTTCTTCTTCTTCTTCTTTTTGGTTTTTCGAGACAGGGTTTCTCTGTGGCTTTGGAGGCTGTCCTGGAACTAGCTCTTGTAGACCAGGCTGATCTGGAACTCACAGCGATCTGCCTGCCTCTGCCTCCCGAGTGCTGGGATTAAAGGCATGCGCCTGTTACTGTATTTCAACACTTAAAAAAAAAAAAAGTTTGTGAAGTTCTATATCTTTAAAAGGTTTTACCAGGTATAGTTGCTGATATAGCCTTTCAGTTGCATTTAAATCCAGTACAGAATATTTGTATCCCATGAGAAGCGAAAGCTTAATGAACATAGATTATTCCTGTATAAACTATGTTTATACCCAACAGTTATGAAATCACCATGTCCAAAAGACACCTGCATTTCCATGTTATTGCAGCACAACTCATATAGCTAAGAGGCGGTAACAACCTAAGTGTCAATTAACAGGTAAATGGGTAAAGAAAGATAATGTCTATTTTCACAGTGGAATACTGCGGTGATACCTTGTTTGTACTCTATCAAATAAAGCTTGCCTGGAGCTACCCACTAGTTAACCATAGAGTCCAGGCGGTGGTGGCACACACCTTTAATCCTAGCACTTGGGATCTCATGCCTTTGATCCCAGTACTTGGAAGGCACACTCATTTAATCCCAGCACTAGGGAGGAGGGAGCAGGAAGTGATATGGCAAGGCGGTGAGAGGAATATAAGGCAGGAGGAGACAGGAGCACAACGCTTTTTTCCTTCTGAGGATTTCACAAGAGTTAAGAGCTTCAGTGGCTGGCTGCTTTACTTCTCTGTTCAGCATTCACCCCCTAATATCTGACTCCAGGTTTTTATTATTAAGACCAATTAGATCCACACTACAGATTACCGTTTTTGCTCTGAGAAAAGAACCCTGCTGTTTGCAAACAAATGTGTGAATCTGAGGACATAGAATTATTTCATGACATGAGGTCTTAAAATGTTGAGCTTAAAGAAATGGAGAGTAAAATGGTGGTTATCCAGCAAGGGACTTCAGGGGCGATGTTGGTCAGAGGATAAAAGATTCCAGTTAGACAAGAGGAATAAGTTCAAGTGTGCATCATGGATTCAATCCCTAGTTAGTGGCGTATTTATGTACTTGAAAATTACCACTAGAGTAAAAGGTAGTTGTTCTAACAGCAAATATGAATACCTGTGAGGCAATGCATCTTGAATTAGCCATTTCACAGGTTATCAAAACATCACATGTATCAAAACATCATATTGTACATCATAAATTTATTTATTTTTTTCATGTTAAAAGAGATAATGAAATCCATCAAAAAATAATAGTCAAATTGGACCCATCTCATAATTGCCTTCTCCCAGCTGTGGGCTCAGTCTAGCCAGCTCCTGGCTTTGGTGGGGTCAAGTGTCCCGCCCTGATGTGCAATCTCGTCCCTGCTTCTTGCCTTCCTCATGACAGATCCATCCTATGCCACAGCACTAGAGGTCAGTGTTGTTTTCTTGAGATACCCCCTCAGACTGCTCCTTGTCCTCAGTCTCTTTGAATCTACTTCCTTTCTTCACTCTGCTCACATTTTGTCCAGTGCCCTATTATGTCAGACCCCAGTTCTGGGCAGGAGAGCTTACAATCCTTAGGTTAGCTGATCTATGCTGGGTGAGAATGGTGGTGAATTGCTGCTGGGTGGTTCCCGCAAACCTATTCATAGTCCCTTGAGTTTACCGGAGGAAGAGTGGTGTTTGAAGATCTGAGAATATACAAGATTGTTCATAATAGTGAAGGTAGAAAATATTCTTATTTTAACTTATTTTTGAGACAGGTTTTTGATATGCAGCCCAGGCTAGTGTTGAATGCACTATGTTGTCCAGGCTAACCTCAGACTCAAGGTGATCATTCCACCTTAGCATCCCAGGTGCTGGGTGTGAGCCACCATACTCAGGCACTTCTATTGTTAATTTTAAGCAAGACTAAGAAATTTGGGCTTTTGATACATAATACCTTGAATGAGAAATAATAGGCATTCCACTTTATTTGTTTATTTGTTTTTTTTTGAGACAGGGTTTCTCTGTGTAGCTTTGGAGTCTATCTTGGAACTCACTCTGTAGTCCAGGCTGGCTTTGAACTCACAGAGATCCTCCTCCTGCCTCTGCCTCCCGAGTGTTGAGATTAAAGGCATGCTCCACTACTGCCTGGTACTATCCCACTTAGTAAACATGGATTGATAATGGTAATAAAAACACATGCTTTATTGATGGCATGCTTCCTCATAAACATAGGAGAACTCTGCTACAGAGGCAAGCTGATATCCTGATGGACACCTCTCCAAGCTTTCTGATGCTCTGATGAGCATCAAGGGCTTCCTGTGTGCCCTGAACCATTCTGTTATGTTGCAGGCCTCAATAGCCTTTCCACAAACCACGGCGTGAGTTCCCAACAAATATTAACAATTTCATTTTATGAATGAAAATACTGAGCTGCAGAATCAGGTCCAAGGACAGTGCAGGAGAAGAGCAAACTCATGATAAATCCCTGAGTGTGGTCTGATTTCAGAGCCTGTTGTTAATTCCTACTCGGCACTGTGCCGTGTCCTGTTATCTCCCTGTGCTCACATGGTAGACTCACATGACTTCTGGAAGGACAGGGACACTGTGGTTCCTTTAATAAATAGTTCTTCAATGAAAGAACCAAGGGCCTATTATCACATCTGATGGGAACTTTTAGTAAGTACTTTGTCAATTAACTTGAAACCACTTTTCCTTGAAATAAATGGATCTGATGAGAAATTGGCATGCGGTAACCTAGTGGTCCTATTTTTAGGAACTGTACATGAAAAACAGTCTGTACCACCCTGATCCTCATGAGTCACTTATGAGTCCCAGCTCACCCCTGACATGACTAATGCCTTCTTTTATCATGAGTATATGAGAACATGAAAAGTGAGCCTCACTGTGGGTGGAGCTCAGTGCTAAGCACTCGCTAGAGGGCATGAAGCCCTGGGCTCTCTCCCCTGTACTACCACCCCCAGTAAAACAGAACAATAACTTCTGAACCCCAGGTTTGCCCTGTGTCCTCTCTGAAGGACTCCTCAAACATGTGTAACTTTAACAGGGATAGAACAGCGGAGACAGTGACAGTGATGGTGACGGAGGGGCGGAGCTTGCTGGGATCTGATACTGGGTGATGACCTTTTAATCTTAATCTTTGCTGCAAACATTGTATTTAAATTTTGATGAATACCTTTTCTTTCTTGTTTTCCTTTTAGGCTTTTTCAAGCTTCTTACCCTTCCATCAGTAAGTATCCATTTAAGTTATTTGATTTCAATAAATAAGTTAAGAAATCGGTTTCAGAAATACATTTCAAGCCAGATACATGCCTTTAATCCCAGCATTCTGGTGGCAGAGGCAGGTGGATCTCTGAGTTTGAGGCCAGCCTGGTCTATAGAGTGGGTTCAAGGACAGCCAGGGCTACACAGAGAAAAACCTATCTTGAAAACAAACAAAACAAAACCAAACAAAACCTTCAGGACAACCACAACAAAAAGAAATACATTGTAACTGTGGCATATGTACCTTTTTATTGGCTCTTTATTTACATATTGGCTCTTTATTTACATCACTTGTAAGTTTGGCTTTAGTTCAGTACAGTTTTCAAATATTTAAGGGCAATATTACTCTAGAGAGATTGGCTATTATGTTCTCAAAACTCCTAACAGGGATTTTTCTTCAGTACACTGGAGCGTCAGAGCCCCTCAGTGTTTGGCCCTACTCATGTTTCAATGTTTTTTTTTTTTTTTTTTCTTTCTCCCTTTGTTTGTTTTTTTAAAGATAAGGCCATGCATTTATAGAGATCTGCCTACTTCTCTCCTGAGTGCTGGGTTTAAAGGCATGCACTACCACACCCAATGCATTTTTAATTTTTTAAATTAACATTATAAAATTACACATAATAGTTCTCACTATAATATTTTCACACATTTACATACTGTATTTTGATCATCCACCCTTCATCATGCTCTCTTGTGCCTCTCCTATCCCTGCTGATCTCGTCCTGTCCTCAACTAGTTTTCCTTTTATTTCCATATCTTGTTTTAGTGACCCAGTGCTGACTCCATCTTTTGAGGAGTGGTAGATTAGAGACTTTGCAGACATATTTAAAAATCACTGCATCAAGTTGCTACTAGCTTAGTGTAGCACAGACTGGGTGTGGATGTGAACCGACGGCCTGGAGTACCCCTTGTAGCTCTCTCAGCCTGTTTACTTTGTGAAATGGTTTTAGCAGGATAATCCAGTTGAAGGGTAGGTGTGATATTGGGTTGAGGGATTATCTTGAGGTCAAATGATGTTGAACATGTGAACTACTCAATATGGCTTCTGGTTTGTTCATACAAGATGGTAGGCTTTCTGCTGTTATTAATTAATTAAAGAAATGGTGGCATAGCCAGGACATGGTGAACGTGGTGGATAGGGTGCAGGAAAAGAAAGCATCACAGAAGAGGGCTTCAGAGAGTGCAGTGTAGATGGAGTTTCTGTCCCACCTGGTCCCGTAGCCGTTTAGTCCCAAATAAACACACAGAGACCCTACATTAATTACATTAATTATAAACTGTTGGGCCGATGGCTTAGGCTTCTTACCGGCTAGCTCTCTCTTAATTATTAACCCATAACCACTAATCTATGTATTTCTACATGGTCTTATCTTACTGGAGAATGCCCGGACCTGCTACTCCTTTGGCGGCTACATGGTGTCTCCTCAATGGTGGCTCCTCTCTGCCTTCCTCTTCCCAGAATCCTCCTAGTCTGGTGGACCTGCCTATACTTCCAGCTTTGCTACTGGCCAATCAGTGTTTTATTCATCAACCAGTAAGAGAAACATATTTGAGCAGCATACAGAAGGACATCCCCCCATCAGTAGGGCAAGGAAGCACATTTTGGCCTTCCATAGACTGATTGCCTGAAGCAGAGAAAGCATGGAAAAGCTTACTGGGGAGTTAAGTACCCAGCCTCAACAGATGTGAGTGAGAATGAACGTGCACTTGGCAAAGGAAATGGCAAGGTGATGTAACTGTTGCTGAGAGAGACAGCTGTGGGGTGTGTGTCCCTCATTCTAGAAGCTCTGTGATCTAATTGAAGAACAGGATTTTAAAGGAGAAAAAACAAATTGTTCAGCTTCAGTGGCCATGAAGGATAAGTTTTCCCCAACACTACAGTTCCTTTTGATAATACCATGTGCTTAAATTTTCTGTTCTAATTTGTAATGAAAACATTTCCAGGTAAGACAGTGAGATTGATCTGTCTGATCTTTCCCCACCCAGCTACCTCTGGACAGCGCAGATGAGATTTATGAACTCCTTGTAACTGGACAGACCCCGGATGAGATTTTATTCTCCAACAGCACACGCTTATCATTTGAGACCAAGAGGATGTCTGTCCTCATTCAGACAGACAAAGCACTCTATAAACCAAACCAAGAAGTAAAGTTTCGTGTGCTCACACTTTTCTCTGATTTCAAGCCTCTTAAGACGCCGCTGAACATTTTCATTAAGGTAAGTGGCAGACAGAAATGAAGGAAGGAGTTCCAGCCATTCTGCTGAAGCTGACTTGAGAGTTCTGCTTGTGTTATTGGCACAGTAGTTTCTTAGTATTTGACCTCAGAAGGGCTTCCTTCTCGACATGGCGCTCCTCTGAATGGGAGCTGGGTTAAGGGTTCAGGCTATGGAGTCTGTGTGTTCCTGTCTACTGTTGACTTCGTCACTGACCTGCCCATTCATCAGTTACTTATTGAGATTTTGTATTCCAGGAATTGACATAAGGCAGTGAAGAGAATAGAGGAAACCCCTGTTCGTGTTGAATTTAGTTTTCAGTGGGTATCAAGAAGACTGATGATTAACACACAAGCACACACATGAGGCCATAGATATTCATGTATCTGTAGGTGTGTGACAATACATGGTAGGGAGAAACAGAGAACCAAGAGACACGGTCGAGAGGGTGAGTTAATTGTTAGTGCTTTTTCTAGAGGTGCCAGAGAAGAGATGTGTGAGCAGAGCCCTGAAGGAAATTTGAGAATGAGCAAATCAAAACAGAGGGGTCCGCACACACAAAGGCCTGAAACATGCTGAAGATACCGTAGGCCATCAGCACACTGACGTCAGGAAGTGAAGGGACAGGCATTAAGAGGTGAGGTTAGCTGTAGGTGCTGGGTTGGAGGATTTGGCTATATTAATCTTGTTGGCTGTTAGATGGCCTGGATTTTACACTGATCGAAATGAGGATGTATAGAGTCACACTTGACTTTCTGGGAGGGATGCAGAGAAACCTTCCTTTGTTAGGTCTGGGACTGAAGGACTCTACTGGCCTGGCTCTTGCCTAGGAGAGGACATTTGTACTGAAGTTCAGTGCTTGGAAACAGTGAACAGGAGTGGCCAAAAATCCCCTTTAATACTGGGCTGTAAGTTGAGGACATAGACTCAAGTCTAGTCATATTCCTCATTGCAGAGGCCTGGTTCATGATAAGGCCTGCTTCGTTGTTTTCCAGTGGAAAATAGTGACTTGGGACAGGATGGCTTAGGCTGAAGTGGGGAAAGGCATCTAGGGTTGCTTGCAAGCCAACTTGCCAAGAATGGCTGTGACAGCTGGGCAGTGGTAGTGCATGCTTTAATCCTCACACTCAGGAGGCAGAGGCAGGCGGATCTCTGTGAGTTTGAGGTCAGCCTGTTCTATAGAGTGATTTCCAGGACAGGCTCCAAAGCTACAGAGAAACCCTGTTTTTTGGGGAAAAAAAGAATGGCTGTGACTAAGATGCTGATAGGCAAAGAAACCATAGTTAGGGGGAGATACTTGTCATTACAGCTTATTGAGGAGTATTCAGTGTTTTTGTGAGGATCATTGTCTTCTTATCTATCCATCTTTCCTGTCTCAGTAACTGACCTTAGGAAGGACAGGGCCTCAGAGGTCTTTCTACAGTGGAGAAAGCATACTCTATGTTGCCCTGAATTCTCTCCTACGGGCAGTTTAGCATCACAGCATGGAAGTAAGTGGCTTCGACACTATGTTGGCAGCTGACAGAGCTGGCTTCTGCCCTGGACATTCTGCTTTAACATCTTGCTCTGGGTGCAGGAGAATAAGCTTGTGTGGCTATAGCTGCTTCTGACTTGGAGGGGATGTCCTGTCTGAGTGTGAGTGTAGGTGAATATGCATGGATTCAGCCAGGTACGTCTGGAGGGTGTATCCCATGACTGTGCTCTGGCACTCTGTTCCTCCAGCCCCAAGAGCAACTTCTTGAAGCAGAAGTATTGGTTCAGCGTCTTTTTTCCTTGAAGGGCCATGGCACCATTTAGAAGAAAATTCCACCTCCACCACCACAACTCACCAGCCGAGTTTTTGTGTTCCATTTCCCTAAGGCAACACTGAGAATTAATGTTTTAGTATTTCTCAAGTCTTTGTGCATCTGATCAAGGAAACCCAGCATTTCATTGTGTTTATTTCCTTCATCACTAGACAGAATGTATTTATAGCTTTTGTATTTCTTCCTGAGCCTTTTCACTCCACAGCTCTCCCATGCATCATGCTGTGGCAGCTACAGCAGAGCCAACTGCGGTTACAATGCCTGACTTAGACGTTTGCCCAGGAGACAGTGACCTGACCATTCTTGACCTGTTTTCGGTCACTGATTTTAAGTTTCTGGCTGCCACTATTCACTCAGTTCTCAGCACCACGTTTACCTCCACCTTCCATACCCTTTCGGTTGGAGATCTTTTTTTTTGGTTTCTAATAACTGGGCAAGCTCATTATGTTTAGACAAAGGATAGAGAATAAGAAAAAGTGTATGATCCTTGGTCTCAAGAGCTCATACTGGAACTAAGATTTTTTTTTTTAAAATGAAATATGTAACAGAGGATTTTATTCCATTTTTACTATATGTCATACTCAAGAAGAGTAAACTCCAGATGTGCAGAGTCTACCCTCAAAGTAAACTCCAGATGTGCAGAGTCTACCCTCAAAGTAAACTCCAGATGTGCAGAGGCTACCCACAAAGAGGCCACTGCTTGCTGGAGGCCTGTGCAGCAGACAGGAAGCTGAGCTTACTTTACCGGTAGACAGGAGAGGGGGCACATTCTCCACAGCAGAGGTCCAGAGGTCTGGACTTTTGTGGTGAATGGCAAGTGAATCTGTGTATTGGGAAGAAGATGAGCCTAAAGGTAGAGATGGGTCTGCAAGGGTGTAGACTTCACTCTGTGGACAGAGGGAAGCCTTCCCCTAGGGTCCTGCTACCATTCTAACTGACACTGTTTGCTTGGGTCTGTATCAAGCATTTCAAGCCTATGCTTCCTTCTCAGATCAGCTGTTCCAGATGACAGTGGGCAAGAGTGGAAGGATGGGATTAGTGGCATTAGTTAGAGAGGGGTGTGGTGGATATTGAGGTTGGTAAGGACACAAACTAAAGAGAGAACGGGACAGAGCCGACAGGGCTGGGAATGTGGGAGAAGAATGCTTTGCATGGATGCTGCATGAAACTACTCTTGATCGTGAGGTTAAGGGAAGACTGGAACATTTCTCATGGAACCCTGGTTACAGAGCTCCCTGACATATTTTGCTGAGTGTAGAATTGACACGGGCTTGACTTCTGAGTCCTGTCATGTGTTGTTGCTATAGTATGCCAGTCAATTACAGTTGAGTGTGCACTTAACCTCTTTAGCAGTCAGCTTCTTCAAGTATAAGGAAAGGCTAATCCTGCTTTTCTTTCTGCCTCTTCATTGTGCCATTTCTACTTTCATATCAGACACACAGGCGTGTACACATACACACACATATACACACACAAACACACACAAACACACACACACATACACACACATACACATGTACACACACACACACACACACACACACACACACACACACACACTCCACTCCTTCTATATTGAAATGTAGATTCTGTATATGAGAGAAAATGTGTTATTTATCTTTCTGAGTCTGGCTTATTTAGTGAGGGAGAGTTATAATTAGAGGTAACCCAGACTACCCAGCACAGTGGGCCTTTAATGAATTAGGTGCTATCTCAACAGGGAGAATTCATTTCCTTCCTCCCTCTTTTTCAGGAAATACAGTCACAGGTTTTATGACATTTTCATACATGTATGTCATTGTATTTTGTTGTTACCCTCTATTACCCTTCCTTTTCCCTCTTCCCCCGGTTCCATCCCTTTCCCTAAAGGCTTTCATGTTATTTGTATGTGACATGAATATGTATCTGTGTACAATGACCAAAATGGTATTTGTTCTTTTCCCTCTCATTTCTCTGCTCTTTAGAGTTCTTTCTTCCCTCACATAGTACCATTTCTACATAAAACACATACACACACACACACACACACACACACACACACACACACTATATTGAAATGTAGATTCCATGTATGAGAGAGAATGAGGTGTTTGTCTTTGTTAGTCTAGCTTATTTCACTTAACACATTGTCTTCAGCTGTTCCATTTTCCTGGCATGAATGGCAGAACTTTATTCTTTATTGTGCACATATACCACATTTTCTTTATCCATTTCTATGTAGATGGCCATTTAGGCTGGTTCCATATCTTGGCTATTGTGACTAGTGCTCAATAAACATGGATGTGCCAGTATGTTGGCCTAGATTCTTTCAGATGTGTGCTGAGGAGTGGCAGAGTCGGACCACATGGCAATTCTAGCTTAGTTTCTTTAGGGCCTTCTATTCTGATTTTCATACTTCACTAGTTTGTATTTTAGTGGGGGGTTTCTTTAAACCACCAATGTTGACTTGCTGGGGTGCACTCTCTGTGTCTTCTGTAGAAGGAACGATGGTGTCAGGAATTAAAGGGTGGGTCAGAATCCACATGGTTTCAGGAGAAGTAATGGGAAAGGAAGACGTTTTGATTTGTTTTCCTTAGTGGTATAGATCTGTCATTTTCCTCAAACTCTCTGTAATCTTACTTTTCTCACTGCTGTGACAAAATGCCTTTTTCAAGCATCTTGAGAAGGGTGGCTCATAGTTTGAGGGTGCAGTCCATCATGGCTGGGACCATGGTGGTGGTAAAGTGCAGTTGTTGCTGTGGTGGCAGGAGTCTGAGGCAGCTGGTCACAAGGCATCCATGTTCAGGAGGCAGAGGGAGATGAATGCTGCCTGAATTCAGGCTTCTCTTCTCCTTTGCTCTTTGATTCAGTCTGGGTTGCTAGCCCACTTTTTGGTTGTGAGCCTAGCCTTTAACGGCTGAGCCATCTCTCCAGCCTGCTAGCCTATTTTTAAGATGGGTCTTCCATCCTCAGTTACACCTTCAAAGATCCCCTCAGGGTGTGTCCTCTGGGTGACTCTAAATTCTAATCCAGTTGATGATGAAGTTTACCATCACACTACCTTAGTGTCATATTTTGGGGGAATGTTCTGGATTGCCTAGGGGAGGTGGGTACTGCCAGGCCTCGTTCCCAAGTAGGATACACTTGTACTTGGGCAGCCTTCCACAGTTAACACACATGGTTTGGTTTCTGTTTTAGGATCCGAAGTCTAATTTGATTCAACAGTGGTTCTTTCAACAAGGTGATCTTGGAGTGGTTTCCAAAACTTTTCAGTTATCCTCTAATCCAATACTTGGTGACTGGTCCATTCAGGTTCAAGTGAATGTGAGTATAAATATATTTTTTTGGAGGACATCAACATTATTTAAATAGTTCATGTGGTGAAATTTCTCCTAAGTCATTCTACGAACAGAAATAAATTACTCGGAACATCTAGACAATTTAAGTGACTTGTTAATTCCCTGTGCTTCTCAATAGGTTGGCCTTCATTGCAGTAATTGTCCTTTTCCATCATAGGATGTTTGAAGGTTTAAACATTTTGTTATTTTGTTCTAAATAAGCAAATAAACATTTGCTTACTAATTGCATGCATCAAGTCTTTTAAGACTGACTACTGAACACAAAGCTTGTCATCTGGCACATTCTGTGTTTCATAATCGTGATTAAAATGACTGGACAGACCTGCTTTGTTCTTGCTATAAGAAATCATGGCAGCCGGGCGTTGGTGGCGCACGCCTTTAATCCCAGCACTCGGGAGGCAGAGGCAGGCGGATCTCTGTGAGTTCGAGGCCAGCCTGGTCTACAAGAGCTAGTTCCAGGACAGCCTTCAAAGCTACACAGAGAAACCCTGTCTCGAATCCCCACCCCCCACCCCGCAAAAAAAGAAATCGTGGCTTTACAGAGTCACATTGACTCCATTCCTCAGGCCTTTCTCCTCAGAGTTCCTGCCTGCCTCCCGTATTTGCTTCCTTCATGGGCATGCCTGTGACCTACCATGGCAGGAGGAGGCAGTGTGAACTCTGTGCACATCCTTAATCTTGGGGTGCTCCTCTATAAGTTTGGGTGAAGGGGTCATACCTGGTGTAACTGGTAAGTTCATTTGTCTGGTCTTTCTGATATGAGTTGAAATATTCACAGATGTATTTCACTATTGGTAAAATTTATTCATCAGTTTGTGCTTCAAAAATGTTAAGGTGTCCTCACCTTCGAGAGAAAGGTTATTCAGTCCTATGTTGCAACTCAAATGAGCCTTGATATTACTGAGTGCAGTCAGCCACAAAAGGACAACTGCTGTGTGACTTCAAACAAATGCAATATTCAGGATATAGAAAAATCAGTGAAACACAAAGTGACATGGTGGATTCCAGGGATGGTAGAACAAGGAGGTAGAGTTAGTTTCTGTTCTGCAAGATGAAATTCTAGAGATCGGTGTCCAACAATGTGGGTGGCTTAACACCACAGAGCAGCACTTAGAGATGGCTAAATGGCAAATTCGTGCCACTGTAATTAAAATAAGTCAAAAATAAATGTTATCTACTATAAGATACCTTGGTCATTAAGTGTATGATATTTACATTTCTCTATAGTTCATGATATATGAGTTAATATTTAATCAGTTTTTATGTAACCCTCAGAAGAGGTGTGAGATGATGGGTCAGGTGAGATACATGAAATAGTTGCTTGCTTGAAGCAGCGCAATGAAAGAGTCCTGTGGGAAGCTTAGTTGTGGGGACTGACTTAATGGTAAGAGGTCAGTGCCAGACTGCTATGAGACTTTTTAAAACAGATTTATTTATTTATTTATTTATTTATTTATTTATTTATTTATTATGTGTATATAGTGTTCTGCCTGCATGTATCCCAGCAGGCCACAAGAGGGCACAGGCAGGGTCTCATTACAGATGGTCGTGAGCCACCTTGTGGTTCCTGGGAATTGAACTCAGGATCTATGGAAGAGCAGACAGCGCTCTTAACCCCTGAGCCATCTCCCCAGCCCCTCCTATGAGACTCTTACATCTGCAGATGTTTATACACCTACCAACTTTAACCTTGTTAATTTAGCTTATCTTTTTTTTTGGGGGGGCGGTTTCGAGACAGGATTTCCTGTGGCTTTGGAGGCTGTCCTGGAACTAGCTCTTGTAGACCAGGCTGGTCTCGAACTCACAGAGATCTGCCTGCCTCTAATTTAGCTTATCTTACTGAATGCATGACATGGTTTTAAAGAGTATTGAGGTTCATAAATGTAGTGAGTGTTCATAGTTCATAAGCGTTCATAAGTATTCAGATAATATCTATAAGATTTGGAGCTGAGGTGTTTGCTTATTTTCCTGATTCACAATTTAGTGTAGCAATAATCAAAATAAAAATATAGATGTTAGAAAAATATAAAATTGGAGAATATACAGGAACTGTTGGATACCATGAGAAATGCTGATCTTCAAGTATTTCTCAGTATAAGCACTGGGCTGACACACTATTATAATAAAATAAGTATATTTATATTGTAATAAGTATAATATAGCAAATTTTATGAAGGTTGTCATCTACTCCTAGGAAAGCACAGACACTATATATATAATATTCTTATTTATTCTTCATATATAATTTTGTGACATGGGTGCAGCTATGTCCATTTTACATCAGGAAGACCATGACCTCACAAATTAACTTCTCAAGTGTAATGATATAGGAAAGGAGAGCTGTTTTGACCTCCCATTTGGTCTTCAGTTCGGTCCAGAATCAATGGCAGCTTTCTAGTCCTTATATTGCTTTAAGACTTAGGTTTTCCACACTAGAGCAATGAACAGCAATGGTAATCTGAAAATATGTAATGAGCAGCTGTTCCAGCCCCTGGACCTGACACAGTGCTTTCATATAAGTTAACAGTTATTAGATGTCTTGATCTAAATGAATTTGCCCCTTTTCACATTTTAGAAGGTATCTTTATCCTTTTCAAGACAAATGCTAAGTGCTTACTGTTGATGAAACATCAAAATGGAGCTCACAACTAAGAAAAAAAAAAAAAAAAGACTCCCCTTTAACAAAATTGATGGCCACCAGGGGTCAGTATAATCAAAGGCATGTTTGAATATCAGCCCTGGCTGTGGCCCCACTTCTGGTTTTTGTTTCCTGACTCCTGCATTGTATTCAGGAGCTTTATATTTTATCACTTACTTTTGTTTTAGTAGTGAATTATGACTATGGATGGAATATACTCATTATTTGAACACCCCACCATCATATACTATGTTTGTGATTTTTTTTTGAGGCAGTGACAATTCTCAGTACAAAATTGAGGAAAATTATTTTCAGGAGAGAAATTTGAACCTTAGAACCTTATTCTGTTTGTAGAAAAACTATGAAACAATATCAGCGTCACAATGGAAAGACGCCATCAGAGGTCTCATGTGTAATGACTGTAGATAACCATAAACTGCATTCTGTAGTCATATGTTCCCCCAGGTCAGGAAAGGGATGCTTTAGTGAAACACTCTGTGGGCCCCTTGGCATTTAACCATTTCCAACATGTTCACTTCCAGGGTGAGAAATCAGCCATTTACTGACCGTTAGCCTTTCTAGAAAGACTTAAATTGCATTTGGTTGTCATGCATTGCTTTCTTTCTTTTTTTTAAAACTACATACTTTAAAAAAATTAATTCTTTGGGAATTTCACATCAAGATCCCAATCCCACCCATGCATTGCTTTCATTTTCAGGATTTTGAAGTAATGATGAGTTGTGTTGTGTGTGTGTGTGTGTGCGTGTGTGTTATGCATGTACATGCTTGTGGGGAGGCCAGAGCATCTTCTTCTATTCTCTGTTTTATTTTATTTTATTTTTATAACATTCTTTCTTTTATTTATTTATTTATTTATTTTACAATTTTATTTATTTATTATGTATACAACATTCTGCTTCCATGTATATCTACATACCAGAAGATGGCACCAGATCTCATTATAGATGGTTGTGAGCCACCATGTGGTTGCTGGGAATTGAACTCAGGACCTCTGGAAGAGAGTCTTAACCTCTGAGCCATCTCTCCAGCCCCATCTATGTCTTATTTTAATTTTTTTTTTGTTTGGTCTTTCGAGACAGGGTTTCTCTGTGTAGCTTTGGAGTCTGTCCTGGCACTCGCTCTGGAGACCAGGCTGGCCTTGAACTCACAGAGATCCTCCTGCCTCTGCCTCCCGAGTACTGGGATTAAAGGCGTGCACCACCAACTCCTGGCTTATTTTAATTTTTTAAAAAAGATTTAAACTTAACTACTGAGTTCTTTCTTTTCTTTTCCTTTCTTTCTTTCTTTCTTTCTTTCTTTCTTTCTTTCTTTCTTTCTTTCTTTCTTTCGGACAGAATCTGCCCCTGAACCTACAGCTCCCCCTGGTATCTGCCTGTCTGTTCCCTGGGGTACAGATGCGTGCCACCACACCCAGCTTTTTAGTGGTTGCTGGAGATTTGGGCTTATGTTTTCATGCTCAGGCAGCCAGCGTCTCACAACTGAGACAGCTCCCCAGCCCAGCTACTTTTGATGAGTAACACATCTAGGTCTTTATTCCCATTTTTAGGTCTTTCACGTGTAGTATGAGGGGTATTATAGGTCTAAGTCAGTTTTCTATGCAAATGGGCAGTTTTCACATTGTTATGTAACAAGTTACAAAGCAACATAATGTTGGGTTTTAGTGCTGAACCTCACAGACCTTAGATCCCGCTCCTCACGGGGGCAGACACTGAATGAAGGGAGGCGTGAGACTGATGAAGATCATGATGTTCTGACAAGGTGGGGACAACAACTTGGTATTTTCAGTTGCACCAAATTAAATTAATTTTATGTGGCCACTATTGCAGCTTTTAAAAGATAGCCCTATTGTTGAAATTCAGTATCATCAGGACTTGCTTTATGCACTGGTGAAGACTTCATCTCTTCTGTCACATGGTTTGAGGGAGGCAGGTGGATCATATTCTCACACGTTACTTTGTTCCCAAGGTGGCTCAGATTTTGGCCACAAGTTGCGGACTTGAGTTCAGGAGACTCATATTTTGATATATGGGTTGCCAGACAGCCACTATTTGGGCATGTCTTTTATCATATTACTAGGGATTAGCTGTCACCTGTCCAGTTGTATAACCTTGGTCACGTGAGGCATAATAAAATCCGTTTGACTTTTATTTTTAATTTATTTTTTATTTCATGTGCATGAGTGTCTTGCCTGCATGTATGTATGTATAACTTGTGCATGCCGGGTGTCTCCAGAAGCCAGAAGAGGAACTGGAGTTATGGTTGTTGGTAGCATGTAGGTGCTGGGAACTGAACCCATCATTAACCAC